CCCTACCGTTTGCCCGCGCCCCTCTTTGAAAGGTGCACAAAACCTGGGCAGGGCCGTTGTTTCGGGCATTAGGTGACCTCCGACTACTGGCCGTTTTCGGACGTGTTCTGGCCGAAAAAGAGAACCCTCTGCAGACTTCGCTCTGGCAAAAATGCTGGTCTTGGCTGCAAAAGAGAACCCTCTGCAGACTTCGCTCTGGTTTTGCACGGTCCTGAAGCGTCTAGCCGCTATGGCTGCGGCTCCTGCTGCAACCACATCGCACGTTCCATCGACCACGCGTCGCGCGGGCCGACAGGAACTGTTCCTGTAGAGCAGGCCTCTATGGCTGCGGCTCCTGCTGCAACCACATCGCGTGTTCCATCGACCACGCGTCGCGCGGGCCGACACGAACTTTTCCTGTAGAGCAGGCCTCTGTAAGCCTTGTACCCGGAAAGGAGCTTGAGGAGCCCAGGACCACGCAGCAGTGCTGCTGCAGACAACACCTGTGCTGTCTTTTTTTTGGAGCCAGCTGTGCCTCCTCGGACAGCCCCGCTTCGGCGCATGCTCTGCTTTATATGGCCCAGCAAACTCTCTGCCATATTGTCTCCTCCCACGACTTCGAAGGCATGCTTCGTCTCCCTTGCAAGCCCCTTCTGTGCTCCAGTCTGCCGCTTCAACGTTTTCGTGGCTGAAGCACTGAGGTCCTGCAGCAGGGTTGGATGTGCAGGGCTTGAGGTTGACCGCAGGGTGGAGCAGATGGCTGTGAACCCGTAGACCCAGCACAGCCCGCGCAGTCCAGGTGGTGCCAGAGCGTGGCCGTGGCACCCATCTTTGGCTTCACGGATGCCGCGTGCTTGTGGCGGGTCAGAGGGGACAAAAGTCAGCGCCATTCGAGTCGAACTGCAGTCTGATGTGCACCCAGTCATGTCCAAGGCCCATGTGAATCCATGGCTCTCAAATGTGAAGCGGCTGCACGTTGCCAGTGGGGCCACTTGCAATGTGCAGCCGCTTCACATTTCAGAGCCATGGATTCACATGGGCCTTGGACATGACTGGGTGCACATCAGACTGCAGTTCGACTCGAATGGCGCGGACTTTTGTCGCCTCTGACCCGCCACAAGCACGCGGCATCCGTGAAGCCAAAGATGGGTGCCAAGGCCATGCTCTGGCACCTCTTGGAGCTGCGCGGGCTGTGGAATACAACAGAGATACTAGATGTAACATACAAAGTCGGAAAAGCATCTATGCAATACTTAACATGATTATTTCGGTTCGTATGCTTTCGGTCATGTAGATGCGAAGCCATACCTCAGACGCTTATTTGGGTCTGTATGCTGTCGGTCATGTGGGTGCGAACAGCATGCAGGCAATACTTAACATGATTATTTCGGTTTTTGTTTGCTTTGGGTCATGTGGGTGCAAAAAGCATGCAGGCAATACTTCACGTGATTATAGCGGTTTGTATGCGGACATGTAGATGCGGAAGGCATGTAGGCAATACTTAGCATCATTATTTCGGTTTGTATGTTCTCGGTCATATGAGGCCGAAAAGCATGTAGGCAATGCTTAACGTCATTCATTCGGTTTGTGTGCTGTCGGACATGTGACTGCGAAAAGCATGTAGGCAATACGTAACAGGTCAAGTCAACAAGCCCCAAAGACGCCTAGTTGCATTATCAGCAATCATGCGGAATTTCGGGCTCATGCTTCTGTGACTACAATCGCATCGAAAAGTCCTTCTTGGCCAACGTGCTAACTGGTGTGAAGACCTTCTTGTTGTGGTTCACGCCGGTCAGCACCGGCACATCCGACTCGCGGGTGGCCGCCAACCATGCACGTGCGCCGTCGGGCGCAAAGACAACACCAGAGCCCAACTGCTGGTCCATCTGCGGCTTTACGTCCGCCACGGTCTCGGGCGGCATTGCCCTGCTAGAAGCAGTAGGTGCCAAGCCTGTCGCTGACCAGCGCTTGCTACGGCGTCCTTTGAGAACTAAGGTGCGCCCCTCGTGCACCTGCAATCGTCCCGAGTCAGTGTCCAGCGTATTACTGCCGAATCGAGCCGTGTCGCCCTCGACGACTTCGTTTTCGAAAAGCATCTGCTCTGCCACCTCACGGTGGGCTTCGGATGTTGGATGTTGTAGACTTAGAGTTTATGGTTTAGGGTTTGAGGGCTCAGGCGGTCGGGGTTAAACGTTCTGTCCTCTCATGTTCCTTTTTCTCGGCTTTGAGCTTCTGTGTTTGCAATTTGGGGCTCCTGCTTGAGGGTGCAAAATCTAGGAGTGTCAGGGATCGAAATCGAAATCTCTTTTCTTGGCTCCGGACCATGGCTTCCGTGAAGGCCATGACGAGCTTGTGCTTGTGAAAGAGGCCGCCTGCCCTCCTTTCCACAGCACCGAAGGTCTCCTCCTCGTGTTTTACAAAGAAGCACGTGGCATCATTTGGCATCTTGAGCCCGAAGCAATAAGCCGATCTGAGGAACTCCTTGGATCGACCGTAACCGCTGACACATCTGCGGCAGCACCGTCAACATCGAAGCCTACACCCTCGACTCTGAAACGCATAAACTGTAGAAACCCCAGAAAAACCGAAAGCCTGACGCTAAACTCTGGGACGACAAGCTTCGCAGTAGTCGGGATCCTGCCCAGCTGCGTGATGGCCCCAGAACGGCGTAAACGCCAAGCTGCCGCAAGCCAGGCGGGCACGCGTGTTGCATTTGCGGCCTGCCATGCATCGCCAAGCGTCGTCGCCTGCATAGGGTTTAGGGTTTAGGGTAGGTTTTAGGGTTTAGGGTTAAGGGTTTAGGGCTTACTGTCGCCTGCATAGGCCATGCGGCTCCCACAATCCCAGCAAAAGAAGGTTGCATATTCCAAGTGTTTCTTTGGCAGCAACACCCCATGCTCGACAAGGAAAGCTCGAGCTTGCTTTTGACTCATGGCTTGAATGACGTCATAAGCCGGGATGTCATCGGCAGCCTCTGCCAACGTCATGGTGTGCTTCTCCTGCCCCCTAAGGCTTAAGCCCTAAACCCTAAGCCCTAAACCCTAAAACCTAAACGCTACCTGTAGCCGGAAAGACCTACCGTATTAGGGTTCCTTATTATGGTTTCTATATATGGTTCCTTAAAAAGGTAGGTCTTTTCGGTTACAGGTAAGCCCTAAACCCTACCTAAACCCTAAATCCTTGGACGTCTTGCCGGCGTAGTGGAGTCCTTTCTTCTTGAAGGACTTGTTGAGCTCACGCCCTTTGGCTTGTCCCTTTTTCTTCGGCGCAGCAGAGCCAGCTGTTTCAAGCTTTGCCTTCTTGAGCACTTCCAACCCTCCGCGGCCCATCTTCGTGACCGGGATGGGGGCGTCGGCGACCAGTCCAAGACAGGGCGCGGCACTCTGTCCGGTGTAACGTCTGTCTGCAACCTGATCTGGGGCTGCACCGAGAGTATCCCAACTTTTTGTTGATTTACATCTTAACTCTTATTCTTTGGGTACTGCACCCACCCAGTAACAGTCGGATAACATTTATATTAAGGAAATAGTAGGCCCTTAGTCGTAGTATCTCTATCATAGCCTCTTACTGTATGGGGGCAGTACCCAAGTTATTCTTGCAGCAACCTACCGTTGTGTTATTGCCTCTGTCCACTTGGTGCTGTTTGATTAGTATACTGAATGGTGCTTACTGGCGCGCTTCATGCACTCTCGACCGCGGCCGGGCGGCGCTTGGGCCGTGTCGTCCAGCGTCCCCGCGTCCACAGCACTGTCGTCGTCTATGACTGTCCTGGGCGGTTCTGGAAGGCCGCACGGATGGTTATCTGAGTTGTCTGAGCGGTTTGGGCACGCCTGAAACCTGAACCACTTCCACATGCAAACCTCCGCCCAGCAGCTCTGCTACGTCGTTGCCAGCATTGACAGGGGCCGCGTCAGGCAGGGCTCGCTCAGCCGCTTCCACAATCCTGATTGCATCCGTCGGTTTCAGGTTGTGGCACTCACCACTGAGCCTTTAGCTTTTACCTGGAGGGTCTTTAGGGTTGGGTAGTTTTGGGGGTCGGGCACTCCAGAAAGTTTAGGTTTGACAGCTCAGGTCTCTTAGCCTATTGATTCAGGTTGTGCCACTCAGCACTGAGGGTGTAGCTGTTACCTGGAGGGTCTTTGGGGTTGGGTAGTTTTGGGGGTCGGGCATTCCAGAAAAAGTTTAAGTTTGACAGCTCAAGTCTCTTAGCCTATGGAGCCTGAAGCGGAATCCTTAAACCGTACCTAAGCAAAAGGTTTGGAGATTAGGATACAAGGGACTTCCGGCTTGGGAATTAGACTTCCGATAGACGTCCTTGCATGCTTACAGATGCATGTCTGTAAGCAGTGTAACTGAACCGCAAGCTTGCCGAAACCGGAAACCCGAAAGCGTCAAGTAAGCTTTGCTCCAGGTCTGAATGCAGCAAGTTTCCTCGCCGACTGCGCGGGCGAAAGCGTCCAGTTGGCTGCTTCCACTCGGGCCCACTCCTCTTCTGTCAAGAAACCGCCGAGCTCTGGATTATTGCAGCGAAGGAAGGGCAACACGTGCTCTACGTGATTCATGATCAGATGCTGCGGCCAGCGACAAGAGGCTGCGCTTCAGCATTTACCCGAGGCTGCTGGGTCGGTCAAGTCTCCAAGCATGCACTGTGCAGAACCGATGCTGAAGGCCGAAGCCCTGAAATCCTGAGACGGACACCCGGGAAGATGTGGAAGAAGTAATGGGGGACGGGAGTCTTCAAGCGACGACGCCCGGGAATCCTGAAATGGGAGCCGCCGAAGAAAACGCCCGGAAATCCTGAAATTGGAGCCCCCGAAGAAATGGGGGAGTGCTGTGGGCAAACCACCTCGGTGGCGCGTACTACTACTACTACTACTCTACCACTACGAAACTTCACCACTGCAGCTGCTCTGCAACAGGCATCTGCAATCCAGGACGTCGCAGCAGTGGGACGCAGCTGCGAACGCGCTGTCGGTTTCCTCTCTGCAGGCGTGCCTAGGTGCAAGGGGCTGTCGCAGCCTCGCTCTTTCCCAGTCTTCTGATTCTTCTTGTGCACATATATGTTCTCCGGCTAATAATCCAGCCAAGACTTCCCTGCTGCATAGGAGCCATTTGTGCTTCGAAGCCCAGAACATCTCAGGAACCTGTGTGGCACGCAGGTTCAAGGCTGTCGTAGCCTCGCTCCGTCCCAGTCTTCCTATGTTTCTTGCATACATATATAGTCTCCGGCTTATGATCTAGCTAGTAATTCCTTTCCTTACTCACTCCGGCTTATATTTCAGCCAGCACCTTCAGTCTCCCATTTGTACTCAACCTTCGACATCTTGTTTCTTCCGCTGGGACCCTAAACTCCAAACCCTACTACGCGGCTCCGGTTCAAGCCCAGCTCAAGCCTTTTCTGGGCATTGAGAGGGCTCCTCCCGGCTCAAGCCCCAACAGGGCTTCTCACAGAGCTTTCTGCCGGGGCATGCGAATCAGCAACCGGTCTATTTGCAGATGGGCGGTGTTTCACCCTGTACAGCTCCCCAAGAAGGCCTCGCAGAGAGCTCTCTGCCGGGGCATGCGAATCAGCAGGAAGTCCATTTCCTGATGGACGGTGTTTCACCCTGTACAGATGCGCAGAGGCGGCGCTGTTACAGCCGGATCCCGTCTCACACTGTGCAGGTTTCCGCGCCGTGACCGTATGCCGTTTCACCCTTGACAGGTCTCTGCGGGCAATGCTTCCGAGAAGCCTGCATGTGGTGCTTGACCCTGTGCACGTTCGCCTGTGCGGGAAAAGGGAACTAACCCTACGGATCCCTACGGCTCAGCACTACGAATGCCTAGAACTTTGAGTTGGCACTCCCAGTAGACAGTTTCAGATGGATCCTGGGCAGGCAATTTCCCTGTGACTGCGTGATTTTTTTGGGTACTAGTACTAGTACTAGTACTACTACTACTACTACTACTACCACTACTACTACTACTACTACTACTACTACTTCTGCTACTACTACTACTACTACTACTATTACTGCTGCTACTACTACTACTGCTG